CACTACCCCAGGCAAAGGTCCAAAGCTCCCACTCATACTTCAGACAAATATATATATATTCAATATATGAAAAAACAAATGCAAATTGTCTGGCTGTGCTCTCCCAGATCTCCTTGATTCAATTAAAGCCATTTTTCTCTCCATTTCTCACATCCCCCACCAGGCTCCAGAATTCCAGCTCCCTTGCCCCCAAGGTGCCAAACCTACTTTCATGAACTGCTTTCTATTCCAGTTCCTCCTGCACTTCCTGCACCAGGGCTCTCTGAGCTAACCAGTCATGCCGCCAGCCAGCCAGCCACCCCTTTGCTCATCCCCTGTCCATCTAGCCAGTTACCCACAGGTTATCCATCCTCACGCCCACTAGCCGATCTATTTACCCACCTGCCCGTCTCACTAAGATTTATTGAAGGGGGGCTATTCTGCTTTAAAAGTAGCCATGGGGAGGGGTAAGGGGGAGCTGTCCAATAATTGTAGAGTTTTAGTTTTTATTCCATCGAACAAAGAACAAACCAATTTTATTTTTATTAATTTAATCTGAAACATTCCACATTTTAATCTGAGCCTTGCAGAGTTTTCATCTGAAGTTTGAAGCTTTTTTTTTTATTGCATTTTGTTTTTTGAGAACTTCATTAACTAGCAATTAAAGTACAGATGCAGTTTTCTTTTAATTTTATGCTGATGTTTAGGTAATAAGAAATATTAAGTAACTGGCTTCAGGTTTTGTAATTTTTTTTTCCTGTAAGTTCCTGCTTAGATTTCATATCCTATTGGTCAATTTATTTTCAGTGAAATGTAAAAATATTCCCATTCTCTTTAACCAGTATTAATTTTTGAGACCTTATTGCTTGTGACTTGAATCTTGAAACTGTCATACATAAGCAGTATCATAAATGACTTTACTCTCATTATTTCCTCCGGTATAAGCAACCTTTTGTTTTTGGAGTGTGTAGACCATCCCTTCAATATTTTCAAGGTGTAATTTTACATTTTTGCATTTTAAAAACAGTTCACTATCTCAGATGCACATTTCTAAGCCTTATACCTGCAGTGTGGCCTTTGTGAACAGAAATTTGTATATATAATCTGTGTTTACTTATAGCTTTCTCCTTATACACTGCTTATATCTGCGGATTCAAGCTTCTGAAGTGAATACCAGTAAAAACCTAGGTCGTGTTCATTGGTTATACATGTTTGGAATGTTAACAACAACAAAGATTTAGTGAACAAATTCAATGGACTTTTTTAAAAATCACTCAGACTACTATGTAATCTCGTGACTGAATGCTTTGAGCAAGTATTAAAAAGGAAAGAAAAAAAGACAAAATACTATGATTACAAACATGTAAAATGTGTTTTCAACCCAAAGTATGATTGAGGCATGGAACAGACTGACATACCTCAATATGGGGTTGAGGAGATGAGAAGAGATAAACCAAAAATATGTTTAAAAAAATAATAATAAAATGGGTTTGCAATAGAACAAAGACTTGAGGGCAATGTACAAGCAAGATGGTAGTAAAACCACAGATGACTTTACTCTCATTATTTCTTTTGAGGGGGACAGAGGGAAGAATATGAATAGGCAATTCATAAATGAAAAAGTTCAAACAGGCAGTTTGATAAGTTGCTCAATTATCTAAATTGATTAACTTTTCTTTTTTAATGTATCTTTATTGTTGAAAGCATTACTTCTTAAAAATTTTAATTGCAAACATAACATTTTTAAATCTGAAATAGCAATATTTCTCCCATAGGCTAAGTGGTGTGACAAGAGTGAAGAAGACCAGTGGACTCAATATTCTTGTCCAAACTGAATAGATGGAGTTCATCTTCCAGAGTGTAGGGTGAAGCTGTTGGCCTCGCTGGAGGTACAGTAAGTGTGGAGAAATCTCAGGCTCCAAGTGACAATTCTGTGTTCGCCACTCACTAATCGTGTGACCTTAGGTAAGTAATTTAAGCTCTCAAAGCTCTTGTTCCCTATCCGCAATGACTAAATAACAACTGTTCCTAAAATTATTATATAATCAGTTGAGATGTTACATACTGCAAATGCCCAACACAAAGCAATCTCTAAGTGTTAGCTATAGAGTGATTGACTTAAGGCAAAAAAATAAAATAAAATAAAATAAATTTATATATATATATATATATATATATATATATATATATATTTATATTTTTTTTATTATTATTATTTATTTATTTTATATATATATAGTGAGAGGGCTAGTGTTTATGGGAGGAAGATTAGGTCTCTGAGCAATGGGCAGACAGGTTGAAACTATCCTGCCTTAAGATGAAGGTTGCTGAGCTAATCTCAAATGTGGGATGAATGTGGATGATAAAAGCTCTTCAAACCTTGGGAACCAAGACTTCTAAAAGACTCAGGCCCAGTGTCCTGTCAAACTAGTTGCCTATTTTAGACAAATCAGGTTCCATCTTTGTCAGTGGGATTTACTCCTTCATCTCATAAGTATTTAGCTGAACACTTGGCATGTGCAAGGTGCCATGCCAGTTGTTCTGGTGAATAAACTAGCCTACAAGACAGTTGAAAACTTAGTGATTAAGAGCATAGGCTCGGGAGTTAGGGAGACCAATGATTTGAGCCCAAATTCTGTTACTATCAATAGGTTTGTGATTTTGAGTTAGTTGCTAATATTTTGTCTGGACTTCCATTTTCTCATCTGTAAAATGGAGAAAAGACAGACTTCTATATCATAGTGTGATTGTGAAGACCCAAGGTTTTTTGTTTGTTTGTCTTTTAAATCCTCACCCGAGAATGTTTTTTCCATTGATTTTTAGAGAGAGTGAAAGGGAGGGAGGAGGTGGGGGGAGAGAGAGAAACATCAGTCCTTTTGCAAGTGCCCTAGGGATTAAACCTACAGCTGAGGTGCATGTCCTTGACCAGGAATCAAACCTGCAACCCTTCAGTCCGCAGGCTGATACTCTAGCCCAGGGGTCCTCAAACTTTTTAAAGTGGGGGCCAGATCACGGTCCCTCAGAGAGCTGGAGGGCCAGACTATATGAACTACTAATTCCTACTGTAACACCTCGGCTGCGCTCACTGCCCAAAAAACCTGGCGGGCCGGATCAGACTCCTCTGCGGGCCGCATGTGGCCCGTGGGCCGTAGTTTGAAGACCCCTGCTAGCCACTGAGCAAACCTGGCTAGGGTATCAAGATTTTAATGACTATTAAGCCCTCTAGCGAGGCACTAGGGAAATAGCAGCTATTAAAACAGATGCTCACCCCAGACCCCTTCTCCCCCACCTCCCCAACTTGTTCTGAAGGAGCTATGCAGTGGAGACCTTTATCTAAAAAACTAGAGGCCCAATGCTTGAAATTCATGCATGTGAGGGGGGTGTCCCTAAACCCAGCCTGCACCCTCTCCAATCTGGGACCCCTCGAGGGATGTCCGACTGCCTGTTTAGGCCCAATCCTACCAGGCTTAAACAGGCAGTTGGACATCCCTCTCCCAATCCAAGACTGCTAGCTCCCAATTGCTCGCCTGCCTGCCTTCCCGATTGCCCCTAACCACTTCTGCCTTCCAGCCTGATCACCCCCTAACCACTCCTCTGCCAGCCTGATTGATGCCTAACTGCTCCCCTGCCAGCCTGATTGCCCCTAACTGCCCTCCCCTGTAGGCCTGGTCACCCCTAACTGCCCTCCCCTGCAGGCCAGGGTCCCCCCCGCAAACTTCCCTCCTCTGCCAACCTGGTCACCCCTAACTAGCCTCCCCTGCAGGCTTGATTGCCCCCAACTGTCCACTCTTGCAGGCCTGGTCCCTACCAACTGCCCTCCCCTGCTGGCCATCTTGTGGCAGCCATCTTGTGTCCACATGGGGACAGGATCTTTGACCACATAGGGGCAGCCATCTTGTGTGTTGGAGTGATAGTCAATTTGCATATTACTCTTTTATTATATAGCATTCTGGAACCAAGACACAAGTGCTATCTCATGTGAGCCCAAATTTGAAGGTGCTTTCTTCAAATACTTGAAGGGCTATCTGGTGAAAGAGGGCTTAGATGTTCTATAAAATACTAAGAATGTAGTCAGGACTAATAGAATGAAGACTTTTCCTACAGGCAGACAGGGCTACCTCAGTAGATGGTGAGTTTTGCTGCAGAAGTTCAAACAGACACTGCACAATAGCCTTCTAAGATGTTGTGGATGAGATCTGAGCACTGCACAATGAAATATATGACCCTTAAAGTCACTTTTGATTCTGAAATGCCATGGGTGATTGTCTCTGACCATGAGGAGAAGGGAAGGTGCCATGGGATGGTGGAATTTGAGCTGAGCCTGAAAGATGAGTGGGATTTTAATAAGATTCATAGAAACATTCCCTGCAGGGGGCACACTCTGGGAAAACAGAGGGTACCACCGAGACAGAGCAGCTGGAGTAATAATTACAGGGACCAATAAGAGGAGAGCAAAATACAATATGGCCAGTCCCTGCCCCACTCCCCTACCAGGGCAGGGGCATAGCCTAATAGTCTTTGAAAAGGAGTTCTGTAGCATTCCCAAGCATGATACAATTGGGCAGGATTATCTCCAACAGTTGCGTTATTGCGTGACCTCCTAAGTCCATTGCCCACCATGGTGATCATTAGACACCAGCCTCTGGCAGCCCCTGACTGAGTCCACAGTGGGGGTGTCACATAGTTTGTTTCAGGCTGGGGTTTGGAGCCAGACTGTGCAGGGAAGTCTGTAGCCAAGTCTGTAGCTCCATCCTCACTCTGGAGAAAGACCCAAAGTACATGTCTGGGGTCTCTACAGAGCTTAGAGAACATGGGAAATGCATGGAATTTGGAGTCGAGAACCCTAGATTCAAGTCTCGGGCCTACCACCCCCTTGCAATTACCTCGGACAAATTGTTTAAACCCTCAGAAACCCATGGCCTCATCCATAAAGCGGAGACCCTAACTCTCAGTTGATTTGAGGCGGGACTGTATGAAAAGTTACAGAAATGCTGATTCCCTATACTCTCCTCCTTCTTGGCGGTGCCATAGGTTCCAGCCTGACGGGATGGTTCAGGAAAACCAGACTCTGCCTGAATTCATCCTCTTAGGATTCTCTGACCTCGGGGCCCTGCAGGGCCCGCTGTTCTGGGCGGTGCTGCTGGTGTACCTGGTCTCCTTGCTAGGGAACTCCATGATCATCCTCCTCACCCAGGCCAGCCCCTCCCTGCACTCGCCCATGTACTTCTTCCTGCGCCACCTCTCGGTGGTGGAGCTCCTCTACACCACCGACATCGTGCCCAGGGCCCTGGCCGACCTGGCCGCCCGGCACCCCCGGGCCATCTCCTTCCGGGGCTGTGCCGCCCAGATGTCCATCTTCATCGTCCTGGGCATCTCCGAGTGCTGCCTGCTCACGGCCATGGCCTACGACCGCTACGCGGCCATCTGCCGGCCCCTGCACTACTCCGCGCTCATGAGCAGGCGGGCCTGCGTGGCCATGGTGAGCAGCTCCTGGCTCATGGGCGTCCTCACGGCCACCACCCACTCCTCCCTCATCTTCTCCCTGCCTTTCCCGCGCCGCCCGGTCGTCCCGCACTTCCTCTGTGACATCCTGCCGGTGCTGAGGCTGGCAAGCGCCGGGAAGCGCAGGAGCGAGGTCTCCGTGATGACGGCCACCGTGGTCTTCATCATGGTCCCCTTCTCTCTGATCGTCACCTCTTACGCCCGCATCCTGGGTGCCATCCTGGCCATGGCCTCCGCCCAGAGCCGCCGCAAGGTCTTCTCCACCTGCTCCTCCCACCTGCTCGTGGTCTGCCTCTTCTTCGGGACGACCAGCATCACCTACATCCAGCCCCGGGCGGGCTCCTCGGTGACCACCGACCGCATCCTCAGCCTCCTCTACACGGTGGTCACGCCCATGCTCAACCCCATCATCTACACCCTCCGAAACAGGGAGGTGGCGGGGGCCCTGCGGCTCATGGTGAAGAGGCAGGTCTTCCCCCCATGAAGGACTCGGGGTGGGGGTAGGGGGTGCCTGCTCCCTCACTGACTGCCTTCAGGGGCTGGGCTAAAGCCACAGACTGATAGAAACCATGCAGCACCTGGGAAAAGTAAGGCTTCCTGGCAGATAATGTTGGATTTAAAACAGAAGTAAATCTGTACCTTAACTCCTAACCCCACCCCAGACTCACTATCAGAGCAACAGGATAAGAAAGAATGGAGGAGGCCCAGCCAGCATGACTCCATGGTTGAGTGTCATTTCTCCGAAAATAAGACAGTGTCTTATATTAATTTTTGCTCCCAAAGATGCGCTAGGTCTTATTTTCAGGGGATGTCTTATTTTTCCATGAAGAAGAATACGGTACACATTTATTGTTCAATGAAAATAAAGGAAATTTATTACCTGTATACGGTAGTACGGAAGTTGTCAGCACATACCAGACAAACTGTGAATCCTACAGTATCAAGAATTTACTCTTCAGTGACAATCATATCATCATCTTCTGGAACATCATCATAACAATCCAATTCCTGAATTTCCTGGTGAATTTCTTGTGACTCCATTTCTTTCAGCATCAGTGGACCAAATCTCTCATGTTTAGCCTAAGGGGGCCTTATTTTGGGGGGATGCCTTATATTTCACTCAGAAGGAAACCTGTAAGTAGGTTTTATTTTCGGAGGATGTCTTATTTTCGGGGAAACACGGGTATGAGCCAGGAGGTCATGGTTCAATTCCCAGTCAGGGTGCATGCCCAGGTTGCAGTCTTGATCCCCAGTTGGGGAGGGTGGGAGGCAATCAGTGATTCTCACGCATCACTGATGTTTCTACTTCTCTCTCCCTCTCTGAAACCAATAAAAATATATTTTAAAAAAGAAGAAGAATGAAAGGGAATGCTGCCTAGGGGGAAGAACATTTGGCATCTTCTAAGTCACATGTGTCAAACACAAGGCCCGCGGGCCAAATCCGTCCCGCCAGGCCTTGCAATGTGGCCCGCACCGCGCTGTCATCACTGCACTCCGCTGCGTTTCCATCACAATGACAGTTTATGACTGTTCAGTAAACCATTCGGCCCGCGATTTAGGCTGGATTTTAGATTTTGGCCCCTTCTCTGATTGAGTTCAACACCCCTATAAGTTATTTTAGACCCCTGAACAAGGTGATGGCCAGCTACAGCAATAGTGTCTGGGTTAAGGAAAATCAGACTCTGCCTGAATTCATCCGTCAGAGGACCTTCAGAGGTCCGTGTCAGTCATGAAAGCAGATGTCTATGAACTTGACATACAACTAAGTGGCCCACCACTGAGCCACGCGGGCTAGGCCAACTTGTAGTTTTTTGAAGGGCTACTACAAACGGTTAGATTTTAAGGCTTCTGGTGCTAAATGTCTCATATATTTAATAGTTTCTTTAATTTATTGACTTGTGTATGGTAGCACAGCCAACTCATAGGAATTAGTATCAATAGTAAATTTGGGGTTTTTTAGAATATTGCATTTTGGGGTTTTCTTTATTTTGTAATATTACAAATAAAAATTACACATATTAAAATTTTTATTGCACCCTTTTAATATATAATTACAAAGAAGCCCAAACCGGTTTGGCTCAGTGGATAGAGCGTAGGCCTGTGGACTAAAAGGTCACGGGTTCGATTCCAGTCAAGGGCATGTACCTTGGTTGCGGGCACATCCCCAGTAGGGGGTGTGCAGGAGGCAGCTGATCGATGATTCTCTCTCATCAATGTTTCTAGCTCTCTATCCCTTTCTCTTCCTCTCTGTAAAAACTCAATAAAATATATTTTTAAAAATCTTTATAATTACAAAGAAAAGAAAATATGCAGTAATTATTAAAAAGTATATAGTAATAAATGCTGGTTTCACATAAAACTTCCAAATAAAATTGAATACATATTAGAAACTTGAGCTTGCTTCTGTGAATATAATTATTATATTGGATTTGTGCTTGAAAAATGGCTATCCACTTCCTGATCAAGATCTTTAAGTACAAATTTCTTAAATAACTGATGGTCACCATCCAAGAAAACTACTCGCAGCAGTGTGTGATAAAACATGAAAAACCTTTTCAGTCATTCAAAATTTTTCAATCATTGAAATTATATGTAAATATATGTTTACATTTACTAGCTTTTCTTTCATTGAAAATTCTTATAATTTTATTACAGGATTTCATTTCCAATAATACTTTTTCTCCTTTTTTCTTTTTCTTTTTTCTTTTTTTTAATATATTTTATTGATTTTGTACAGAGAGGAAGGGAGAGAGATAGAGTTAGAAACATCGATGAGAGAGAGTCATCGATCAGCTGCCTCTTGCACACCCCCTACTAGGGATATGCCCGCAACCAAGATACATGCCCTTGACCAGAATCGAACTGGGACCTTCAGACCCCAAGCCAACGCTCTATCCATTGAGCCAAACCGATTTCGGCCTCCTTTTTTCTTTTTTCTTTTTTTGGCTTAAACAACAGCCATCTATTTCCTCACAGCTCTGGAGGCTAAAAATCCGAGATCCAAGTGTCCGCAGGGCTGGTTCCTTCTGAGGGCTGTGCAGTCATCGCTTCTTGATTTGTAAATGGCCATCTTATCCCTGTCTGTCTTTTTTTATTGATTTATTGATTGATTGATTGATTGATTACAGTTAACATACAATATTATATTAGTTTTGAGTGCACAACATAGTGATTAGACATTTATAAACCTTACAAAGTGATCACTCTACTAAGTCTAGTACCCCTATGACACCATACACAGTTATTACAATGCTAGAGGACCGATGCACAAAATTCATGCAAGAGTAGGCCTTCACAGCTGTGGTGGCTGCCTCGATCCTGCAGCTGCAGCTCCAGCTTTGTCCGGAAGGTCGTCCAGGACATCCAGATGGCTGTTCGGTCGATTTGCATATTATGCTTTTATCATTATAGATTATTGACTATATCCAGCGGTCATCAGCCTTTCGGACCTCACAGACCACCAGTGGTCCGGGTATCACTGGTTGGCGACTGTGGCTCCAAAGGTTTCCTTATTACTTGACAACTGTGCCTACTTTCAATCACATGTTTTCATGTCAGGTATCTCGACAGAGTATCGCTGGAGCTCTCTGGGCAGATTGTGCAGACAGCCACCTTGCAGCTGGATTATATACCACAATGGGGCACATTAGCAGGTAATGGGCAGAAGTATTGGATATATATGAAGACAAAGATTCAGGACCACCATGGAGAGCTTAGGAGATCCCCAGGACTCCCCATCCTCCAAACCCTGAGGGCCACACCTTGGGCTGGGCACTGTGCTCCTTGTCGCATGAACCCCACTCCCCCACAGCTCCGTGGGCCCCTCATCCACAGCAGCAGCAGGACACTTGAAAGCTAGCTGCAAGAGGGGACATGAAGGTCACAGAGCACCTCTAAGCTGCCCTCAACCCACTAAGGCCAAACAGTGTCTAGCCCTCACTTTTCTCACCAGCTGCAGGAACCTCAGGGTGCATCACCAGCCCCACTCTTTTGGGGCTTCCCACTGCGTAGCCCCAGGCAAGGCTATTTATGGCCAGATGCAATGAGCCTGGGAGCTCTGTCCATTCCAAGAAACCCACAATGCAGAAACCAAGGGCAAAGAGGACCACACTCTTTCAGATACTCCAATCCATTTGGCCCTCCATGTGTCATGCTGTACTCTTTGGGAAGCTCAGGTTTAATACAGTCATTCAGAAAACACCATGTCAAGCTGTGTACCAGGAATTTAGTGCAAAGAAGAATAAAATCAACATAATGGGTGAGACAGAACAATTAACATGCAATACAATTTTATATGAGACATGTACAAACAATAGCAGCAAGATAGGATGGTCACGAGTACAAGGGAGAAGTCCCAAATCCAACCTGAGAAGGCTCCAAAGAGGAAGAGACACCTTAACTGAAGTCTGCATAACAAGAATTTATCCAGAGGAAGAAGTAAGAAAGGGAATAATAGAATGCGCAAAGGGCCTGAGGTCAGCAAGAGTGTGTCTCACTCCAAGAACTGCAGGATGCTCTTTACGGTCGAGTATACTGGGTAATGGGAAAGTGACAAGAGAGGAAGGAGACTTGCAGCATCTGAAGTTGTTGGAGTTTGAAGAGGTCTAATTAACCACTCACCTCTCCCTTTGGGTTCTCTACCAACTAGGAAAATACACTGAAGTTAGGAAGCAAATGATCAGCTGTATTACCAGTCAAGCTGAGTGACAACATCAGATTTCAGTTTTTTAAATATCATTGTAGCTGGTGTGGCTCAGTGGTTGAGCATCGACCAATGAACCAGGAGGTCACAGTTCAAGTCCCAGTCAAGGCACATGCCCAGGTTGTGTGCTCAATCCCAGTAGGAAGCATGCAGGAGGCCTCTGATCAATGATTCTCTCTCATCATTGATGCCTCTCTCTCTCTGAAATCAATAAAAATATTTTTAAATAAATAGATAATAAGATGTTGCTAATAAAACAGAAGGTGGGGTACATGGGAACAATATATGTTACTGCATTCACAATTTTTCTGTAAGTCTAAAACTATTCTGAAATAACGTGTTTATTTTTAAGTTAATTTATTGACATGGAAAGATGTTCACAATATATTATTAAGTGTAAAAGCAAGGTAAAAATACAGTAAGTTCTTAATATAAAATATATATTCAGATAGATAGAAATTAAGACATATATACACCAAAGTATTAACAATGATAGACTTTAGATGGAATGAGTCTTTTTGTTTTGTGGATTTTTTTAATATATTTCTGATCCATATGATTTTTCCCTATTTCCATTAATCAGAAATATAGGAAACTCATATATAAAACAGCAAAAGAAAAAGATGGAATTTATTTAAACAGATTTTTATATTTTAAAATGTGTAGTTTATTTTCAATCAATTATTCCTTTTTATGCCTTTGAAATATTTTTATTAATAGTTTGATTTTTCAATTTGATCAAAAGTGAATGTTTCTGGTTGTGAGCACACACTTTTCAAGTGTAA